GCAGTGAAGTATTGTGAAGCACGGATTGCTGAACTAGAAGCTTGTCTTCACGATGCTCTTTGTCAGCTGGAAGGTAAAGCACGGCTGCAGACAAAACATGACGGTGTTTTTATAGATAGTGTTCGGATGTGTTGCCTCAAGCTGCTCTCACAGAATGTAGGAATCCTGAATGTCCGTCCCGTTATCGAAACAGTATTGGAGATGGTGGGAATGCATGCTGAGCAGTTACCAAGTACAGGAACGCTTTCAGACATGTTGATAGAATTGAAACGGATTAGCTCCATGCATGCAGCCTCAGAGCTTCTTGCGTCAGACAATCTCACATTATACAGTGATGGCACATCCAAGTTTGGCGACAAATACGGCACATACCTGCTTGCGAATGAGTGTAAAACATTCAGCATGGGTCTTGTTGACATGAAATGCGGTACGGCAGCTCACACCCTGGAGAAATTGCAGGAAGTGCTATGCGATGTAACAGATGTGTGTGAAGCACTAGGTGAAAGCAAAGCTGGTGACAGGATTTTGTCAAAATTGAAAAATACAATGAGCGACAGATGTGCTGTGCAGAAGTCATTCAATGACCTATTGCAAGATTATCGTGCTGACATTCTGCCAGGGATTACAGAAGGATGGAATGACATGAGTGAGAGTGCAAAAGACAACATGGCGAAAGTGAATCGCTTTTTTTGCGGCATGCATTTCATTGTAGGCCTAGCCACACAAGCTGTAAAGACACTGTCAGAATGGGAGAACTTGCATTTCGGGGAACAGAAAGTTGGTGCCAACACTGTCCCAGGTGTATATGACAAAAAGGAATGTTTTGTGCAACGGCTCATCCGGACAGCAACTAGTGCCTTTCATAAACATGGAAATGAGCAAGCTGGAGTAGTAGCAGAGTTTCGTGCTTTTCTAGACAAGTCAGATTTACACTTGGATTTTCATGATCTAAGAGGAAACCGCGAGTATGTGCTGTTCTACAACGGTGCTGGTCTGTATGCCCTACATGAATGCATGCTTGATTTTCTCAAAGATGTGCATGGTGAGACCAACCTTTTGCTCAAAGCTGTCTCTGCTGATCTAGGTGTTCCGGAATTAGTTGCTGGTGCAAGGGCGCTTGGACTGATTTGCAAATTGGTCATTGCTCCTCTGTGGCGAGTGCTGGAAGATCGACGCATCAGTATTCTGGATATGTCATCAGTCTACTCTGCGATGCACCAGAAACTGACGGAGTGGGCAACTGATGGATCATCACTGCTTGATGGGTCTGCACGACCTTTCCCTACAGCTCAAGTTTCCGTCCTTGATCCAGTGTTTAGTTGCCTCATCCAGCCTGCATCAAGTGATGCCGTAACTCTGGAGATTTTGCAGGTTCTGTGCTCAACCTTCTCGCAGTATATGGGTCAGCTTCTTATCGACCACCTACCAGGAGGCATATTCCACCAGTCGACTGTTGACTTGGCTAAGGAGACAGCATCAGTCAGCAACACCAATGCAATCGCTGAGAGGGATTTCGCCCAGTTGGATAGGTTTGTCCGGGAGAAGCCAAATGCCTCTACAATTGCAATGGATGGAATGATTGCCTTCGCCAACAACAAGACTGGAGCATGGTTAGGCGCACAGACACCAGCTCAGCGTGCGAAGGTTCTAGCGATTGGCCGCAAGACAGCTCCCCTTCTTCGTGACCTGTACAAGGACCGGCAGGCGGAGATCAGGGACCACCGCATCAAGCAAGTGGAAGAGAAAGAGAAGGACATCAAAAAGAAGCGAGAGAAAGTGTTGCAGAAGAAGGAGGCTTTGACGCAAGAGATATCGAAGTGCGGTGGTCTTTGGCAAACTATTGACCAGGCCAAGGTGGAGCTTGCCAAATTGTCGTCAGTAAGCTCACAACGTGCGGCACTGAGATCACAGCTTTTCTTCCGCAAATTTGTCCTGGAGCAGGAAGCGCCGTCAGATGTATATGCACTGTCGAAAGCTGGCAAGGTACACTCCATCGAGTGCTTGGTCTCAAACCTTGCAACACTGCTTCGCTCTGAATCGGATGACACCACAGCGAGTGATGATAATGCTGCTTCAGACATCAGTGCTGCTGCTGAACCCCTGGCAAAGCGGCCGCTACATTCTAGCAGCGACACCTGACCAAGCGTAGCGTGCTAGCTAATTGATCTTGGGCGGGTCCGTTAAATAATGTTCTTGTTTCTATTCATGTCTATTGTGCTTCTTTCCTTTCTTTTATTACCTCTTCACAGTTTGTACATAAAAGAAGCTCTATTGTTCATTATGTTGTTGGTTATTTGGGCTGATTTTGCACTGATAAGCACCGTTGCTATGGCGGTTGCCATGGACGCCATGTTTGTTATTTTTGGCGGGAAATTTGAAATCTGCAACGGAAATTACATTTTTGGAATCAGTGGCCTCTAAGCTCTCTTCCCACCAAGTTTGGTGTTGATTGGCTGTGTTTAGCCGTTGCTAGGGTGTTGCTATGGACTTCTGGATTTCGGGATTGTGCCTTTGCCCATGTATGGTCTGTACACAACTATTGTACAGGTTGGTTGCGGGTATTCCTTGACCTATATCTTCAGTTTTACTGCTCCGAATTGCTTCAAATTTTCTGTATAGCTTCCTCTGACCCTGGTCTTTCACATTGCACAACAAAATTCTGTGAAAACCCAAGTTGTAAAAATCACCTGAAATCCCTACCCTAAGGAGAACCACTCGGAGAACTACCAGCCTGCGCAAGCCCAGCCTTCAGAGTATAACGAAAGCTATGGAGGGAAAAAGGGGTGCATGCAGTAAGTGGCAATAGGGTGAGCGGGAAAAGGGGTGCATGCAGTAAGTGAGACAAGGTGAGCGGAAAAAGGGGTGCGGTGCATGCAGTAAGGGATGCAAAGGGTCAGCAGGGCAAAGGTCACCGGGGAGTGCATGAATGGGTGTGTGTACAGGGATCCGCAGATGTGTATGTATTTGTGTACAGAAGTGTGTGCATACGGGAATGTGTACGGGTCTAAAGGGCTCATACAACAGAACTATACACTTCTGTTACAAGGTAGTGAGGAGCCAGAAAGTGCGATAACAGAGCGCAAGGCTGACAGGCTACTGAGACATTCAACATCCTGAGAACCAGCTCAAACACATCTCCAGCTCGGCAACCATCAGCCTTCCGCCTCGGAAGGTTCAGGGTTATGGTAGGACCAATGAGGACTTTCTGACTGCGTATTATTTTGTTACCGTGGTGAACAGTTGCTTCATAACTCGTTTCCATGTGATTTCTTCTATTTTAGCTATGCAAAAGACGCTCCTTTAGTAGCACTTAGCGCTAGCCAGGGTCCACAGCATTTTATTTCATTTTTTGGTGGGTACGGCAATCATCACGCGATGTACCATGCCCCGCGCTGGTACATGTCCCGTATCGTACCAGCACAAACTGCTGGCCACATATAGTTTTTAAATGAATTCGACGCACGTGTACTTCCTCCATATACAAAATATTCCTGACTTTTTTCAAAGGGGGTTTTGAGCAAGATCTCGGTCAACAAACCACACCAAAGACTATCATCGACAACCCACATTTATGTTGAGGTACGTTTGGTTGACCATGGAGCCAAGAGGGTGGGAACGTTGCCGACGGAACCTAACTAGTCAAGTAAAAAACTTCCACATGCCAGACTCTGTGAAAAGCAATCGAGAGATCAAAAAAGGTGGCAGTGGTTGACATATGTCACCGGACCTTCATCTTCTTCCAATCGTCGCATGAACGCCTCAATAAACGTAGTGTGCGAAATACGTAAGCGAAACTCACTCCTACGCAACCTTGTACCTATTTCCAGCTTAGCAGGTATGTGTTCGTGCTGTTACCACATGCACAGTGGGGTAAAAATCCTGCACAGTGGTGTTGTACATGCGGTTGCGCGTGTAGCTCTTTGTCGTACATGTGGCTGCTTTTGTGTCTCTTTGTTGTACATGCTGCCGAGTCGTGGTATATGCTGCTGCGCTTTTTTTGACTCCTGCGTACATGCGGCTGCACCGTCTTCTGTCCCCGTTGGTACACACTTGCTCGTCTTGTCCCCGTTGTATGCCTTCACCATAATATATTCTGTTGTCTCGTCTTGTCTCAGTGTCAGTCGTCCGTCGTTCGTTTTCAGAGTTAGTTCTTCATTATGAGTTCTCCAGTCGCCTTGTGAAATCAAGTCAGAGAAAACGCTCTCTAACAATTTGTTCTGGTCCTTTGTTGTGTGGCGTAGCGAGGAGCGTAGAGGCAGTTCGTTCACGGTTTCAAACCCGTGACGGCAGTAGGGTAAAACTGCTGCACAGTAGGGTAAAAATGCTGCACAGCAGGGTAAAAATGCTGCACAGTAGGGTAAAAATGCTGCACAGTAGGGTAAAAATGATGCACCGTAGGGTAAAAATGATGCACAGTAGGGTAAAAAGTGCTGTGTCTACGTCCATGTAAGGAGTTTTAGTTGATTGCCATGATGACCAATGTTAAAGCTTGATTTTAAACGGGAGTAGGGGAAGCGGGAAGCGGAGACATAACTTGATGACAGCCTTAATGACATGTACACTACTGCATAAGTACAAATTTCCATTGGAATAAGCTTTCACTATATTCGTTAGGGGCACAAAATAACTAAAGTTTGCCAAACAAAAGTTTTCTTTTCTGAACGCTCGGGGTGACAGACCTAGACCGAAAACGAAATTTAGTACATAAGAAGCCTGCTGGTGGAGTGATCTAACGAAATATTTCGTGAACGAAAATTTGTAATTACACAGTAGTAACATATCGATTCTGTTCGTGATTTGTTTCAGTTATGATTTGTTCTTTCTCTCCTAGCCACTTCTCCTACTTGGTCCACTGTTTGAATTGTCGTCACTATACTAAGTGCATGATGACTAAAAATCAATCCTTTCTGTAGGCTTCCAATCTGTTGTCTGAAGCAGACATGGAATGCCGCACGCCTTTCAAACGGTTGCTTTTCTTCCCTTTTGAATGTTTTGCACAGTTGTGAAATGTGCCGTACCTCCAATTGCCAATGGTGTTACTGACCGGACGGTAATTGAAATGGGGGAATCTGTTACCTATTCCTGCACAAAGAATCTAGTTTTAGTGGGTATTGCCGTGCAAATTTGCACTGCTAGTGGAGCTGCTAATGGAACTCTTTCCTCTGTGCCGCCTTACTGTGCATGTAAGTTCTGTTTGATAGGCATATTATTATTATTGTTGCGTTGAACCATGACAGAAGTCACGTCCCATACACCGACCCAGACAGCTCCAGTCCTTCAAGGAAAAATGCAACAAGTATCGGCTGCACCTTAACTGGCAAACAGCCACTGACGCCCTATGAAACGGCTTAGACCAGCGCCTTAGTAGCATCCTCCCTCCCCCTTACCACAATGTGATGTTGCCTTTCACTGTGCTTCTCTCACGACCATCTACCCATTGTCCTCTTTCCTCACCATTATTCATTCCCCCGCCTCCTCCTCTCCTCATGGTTTTACTGCATACTGACAAACTCTTCATCATGACTGTTATGTGGTAGGTGAGCCAGAACAAGAATCTTCGAAGTGTTGCCGAGAACCGGCATCCACCCAATTTAACCCTTTAGGTACCGGGCATCTGATATATTATTATGCGTCGGATACTTCTCGTCAATGATGGATCTATAGGATAAAATCTAGACGAATTTTTGTATGTGCAAATTTATGTTATTTTCTGAATCTAGAGCAATGAATGGGTCCATTTGTCAACATATTGTAATCCAGCATGCAGCTATTATGTAGAGGGCATACATGGAATGCCCGTTTACGAGCCAATTATTATGAGTATTTCTAACAACTGAGATCCCTACTTTTGTAGTAAAGTATAGACATGTTAGCGACGGTCATTTGTACGCACAGTGACGGGATAACATTGCAACCACAAGCTGCATGCATGGATAGGTGGAGAGGTGACAGAAACACGACTACACAAGTTAAACTTTCAAAATGTTCAAGAGCCTGGAGTGTGTCCTACTTCTAACAGCTCTAGCATATCTTTGATGCGCACTCCAACAGCCTTCCAAGATATGCTAGAGCTGATAGCCAGTTACTTGTAAAACGTCAGCACCGTCAATCAATGCCGTGCAATGTTATCACATGAGCTGATTGTTTAGTAACTGCTGGTGTTAGTGGACAGTATAGCGTAAATTGTAGTTCCTTGGTCTTTCTCTTTTGTATAAAATAATAATATAATTATAATAAAAAACAAGAAATTCTGATCAACACAATGCGTAACTTGTAGTTCCTTGGTCCTTTTTCTTTTCAACAAATTCTAAGTGTTTGACCATTTGATGTTTAGCTCTGTTGTCACACTTCCAGACCACATATTATGCTGCGCCTTCTTCAAATTGTTCATGTGTTGTGTCTTTTTCTCTCAAATTCGGATCCTCTAATTGGTCTTTCAGTCCCAGCATCTCTGACATCAGGTGGGTTTCCTTACACATTCTGTAGATGTGGGTTGGATCTGACTACTGTACACCATGATGTAATCTCTGGGTTTAGCGACCACCTGCTCTTAACGATCGTTTTTCCATGCACGGACAGTTCTACACAGACACTGTGGGACCTGGTTCTAAAGACCAGTTGCCGCTGAGTCGACTGGTTTTGGTCCGAAAAGGCTGCGAAACAGCGTTAGGCCTTTATTCCCAATCGAACACGGTTGAGTAAGCGGTCACGTGCTCATTTGCAGACTGCTTGGACCCGTTTATGTCACTCGAGTTGAACCTTTGAACCAGGGAGTCGTTAAAGTCTCTTATGACTCCCTGCTTTGAACCTTTGAGTTGAATCTTGATGTAAGAAATTGTAGTCTGCAGGCACTGTGACCAGCCAGGCGACTGGTGTACGCATGAGCACGTGACCGCTTACTCAACCGTGTTCGATTGGGAATAAGGGCCGAACGCTGCATCGCAGCCTTTTCGGACCAAAACCAGTCGACTCAGCGGCCAAAAGACTACAAGATATGGACTAATCGCGGTCATCCGTGCTTTTATAAGAACGAAACAGCGTTTTTAGTGACTTTTTCCATACAAATCCCTATCTAGTAGGGCGCAGTCACCCAGTTTGGGTAGAACTGCGCGAGTTTGATTGGGAATAAAGGAGGAAGGGAGCGTCTCAGCGTCCTCGGACCAAGACCATTCGACTCAGCACCCCGAAGCCTACAGCTGGTGAAAATTTGATTTTAGGGTATACTTCCCCTTTAAACCAGGTTTTAGTGTATTGCAACTATATAGGAGAGTCTGCTTGATTATGACCAGGAGTATTCCCTGGAGCGTAGACCGCACTGGAGTGATAGTGACGCCTAATTTGTCATATGGGCCGCGATCAGCTAAAACATGTCTTTGGGGTTTCGTAAAAAAGTTGGGAAATGACGAAATGAAAAAAATGTTTTTTTGGAGTGCGTTCACTCTGCACTTCATTCAAATGATTCATGATGTGGCGATCATCTTCTCAAATTTTGTTCAAACACTTGTGTGGCGTTCTACTTCAAGTAGCTGGCGAGCAAAGACTGACAATGTCCGCATCTAGTGATACTAGAGCAGCTCGCACGGCCAGACGATCGCTGTGCATGGCCCAGGTTTGTTCAGGTGTCTGCAAGTCCGTGGCGGCGGGTCTGCAGAGCGACGCTGACAATTTGTTGGGATCTCATTGATGTTGATGTCGACAGCGAAGCTGAATCGTCCCCGTCGTCTCCAGTAGTGAAGAGGCACAAGTTGTGGGCTAGTACATAATCATTTAGGCGGCGAACCGGCTGCCTTACGACGTTACTTGCGTTCAGCTCTCATGAGGCGTCTGACGCAGTCTCGGAAACGCAGGCGACGATCGAAAGTGTCACTGCCAGAATCGAAAGAGTATGCAAGTGCAACGCCGCCCAGCGCATCGTGTTGCTTTCCAGGAAGAACTTGGGCCATGCCTTTGAACTGATGTCGTTGACATGCTCAAGTCGGTGTCAACATCTTTAGTTCCGTTGTATTGTGCTCCGCCACAAAAGCCACTAAGTAATAGTTTGTCTCTTTGTGTCAGACTGTGCGAAAACTGTCATTTTCTATTTCAAAGTACATATTATTTTGAAAGCGGTGTTTGGGGCACTTGTAGACTACTTTTCTGCCCTGTATCACCTTCAAGAGGTCAAGTAAGGTCCCAAGAACTGTTTTCTGGAGGAAAACAAAATTTGAAAATTTTCACCCTAAGACATGTTTTAGCTGGTTGTGGCCCATATCACGAAATATAGACATAATAGAGAGGTTGCGCACAACGAAAATTCGTAGCGCCGTAACGAATATTTTTAACGAAAAAACTAACGAATATTCGTAAACCGTGAGGTTGCGCACAACGCGTGAACGTTTTCGTAGTGGGTCGACGCGGCGGCCGCGCGGGTATGAAGAGTCAAGACAGGGAGTTGTAAAATATCAGTATTTTAGTACTCCAGATAACGAAAAATATTTTCGTACATCTGCTCTGTTTCGGTCACGTTTGGACGGATCTTCGGAGCAACTTTCGTTACTCGAACCCGGACGGGCGAAATCTAACGAATTTTCGTTGTGCGCAACCTCTCTAATACCCGAAATATAAGAGTCTGTTTAACCGCTTAGTTTATTTGCCGGAGTATAACACAAACCTGAGCATAGTATGCACCCCCTATTTGGGCCAACGTTTCGACAATTCAAAGTGAATACCGACCCATTACCGAGCATAATGAACAGCCTAGATTTGAGAAAACTAGGGGCAGCATTACTTTGTACTCCTTTCTCCGCTTAGAAAAAAAAGAATATTTAGAAGAAGTTAAATATAGAAAGGGACACATAGATACAAGTTCAGAGTAACTGTCCACCACTGAAACTAGATGGTTGTTAATTAGGGCTGAAACAGTTAAACTTCGAAGTACCAATTACTTGGTGTTACAGGCAAGAATTCAAATTCCGATACACGTGCACAGGCACACTCTCCAAACGCATTTGGGACAACACACCATTACTAGACGTTCTGGATTTCTCCTTGCAAACACACTTCAAACATAACCGGCATAACTCCAAAACCAAAAAACTGCAAAAGGAAGCAAAAAAGGGCCAGCAAAGGCACAGCGGGCTTGCGCCACTACATACACGGACACGTGACACAAAAGGCACCATAGTGCGAGCATGACTCATAGCCATAGTCATAGCTCAGTCATGCAGCACAGCGCAGTTGTAGAAGCGCATGATCACGGGTACAAAGGGTTTCAAAAATACAAATAAACTATCATGAGTGCAGCTCAAACAACTACACGTTCGAAGCAGAAACAGAATAGAAGAGAGACGGAGAAGCAGAGTAGAATGCGACTAGACAGAAGGAGAAAATTATCAGTCTCAGTAGAACAATAGCATGCATGGACACTCGTAATAACGGAACAGACGACATGGCTGTAGACGTACTGGAGTATCTCCACGTGCGCGTTCGCACCAACGTGACTCAGAGGAAAATAAATAAATAAACAGACAAGGTAAGGTCAAAACGAGAATCGTTCAAGAGGCTGTCTTGAAACATTTACAGAACAGGCGAGTGGCGACAACACTTGGTAATCGACTGATGATTCCTTTTAACAATTTTAAAACTAATCGTTACAGTATAGATTACTCGTTAGAGGCTTCGAGTCCATTTTGAGTCAAAAAGGTAGTGAAAACCGCCGTTTTGTGAAGTTTGAATCAGTTTCCGCTGTGAGTATGCAGTTGCCAGGGGTATGGTTCATGTTCTGAGGTATAATTGAGTTCAAAACTGCTATGTTCCGGAGCTTCTGTTTCACTAATGTGTTTTACAACACTAATTTTTGCACAAATTGTGTGTGCGCACGTGTGTGTGTGTGTGTGTGTGTGTGTATGTGTGTAATTGCATTCTCTTTCATGCTGGACAGCGGAATTCAGATGTCCATACCATCCATCGACAATCCTGAAGGACTTCCCTCTTCAAATGTCCTTCGCTGAAGCAACTGATCATTGCAAGAAGTTTAAAGCTACAATACCTACAAAAGTATCCTGCGTGAAAGATTTTCTTGCTGCCTCAGCCAGCAATCAGGTTGTCTGGTTGGCCGAGAAAACCGGGGAACTGCAGCATGCAAGCGATGGCAAAACTTATAATCTAAGATCTGACCCAGCGCCCAAGCACAATGTTGTGTGTGAAACTGCACCAGGTAAAAATTGTCTTTTTCCAGAACCACTAGCCACCCATAATATGTGTGTGGGTGAATTTCTTCATCTGTGCGCCTATATATCTGTCCTCTTGTCCGTCGACCTTCCGTCTTGTATAGATTTTCAGAGGAGAAGCAGTTGTTGAATGAAGGGGTTAAGCTGAATAATGCTATTTCATAGAGAAGATATATCGGCGCAAGGTGTAAACACTCAACGAACTCACATATGCGACAAATCAACACAAAAGGAATAGAACTTTATGAACACCACCAGACGAAACTATCACATGTGCTCAGTTAAGCACAATGAGAAGAAGAGGTACACACAAATGGGCTGCGCTAGTCTACACGTCACAAAGAGTACTGGGGTGGTGACAAAGAAATGTTGAAAGCAAACACCAAGTGAAAGCCAACAAATCATCATGGACCGAGGGGTCAGCACACTATTGAATGCAAGAAGGATACAATTTTTCGCGAATGCTGAGACACTCAGTACCTGCGAGAGCCGCACACGTGTAGCGCGCAGGTGCCATACCACTGATGCTGACAAAGAGGGCGGGCTCGACGTAATAGCACACTTACTTGCATGAGTACTCGTGACCAAACAGCTGATGATGAATGAATGCGCATGCCACCGCCAAAAAAAGCTTATTTCAATATCGAGGTGATTCCGCCGACGGTAATCAACCAACCACGCATTGATTATACTACACTTGTGGTGAAATAAAAATCATCCAGAGCTAGCAGACACATAGCAGCTCATGTCCTATGGGGGAAGTCAAGTCGTATGAGTACCACTATCGCACGCATGAGTGCTCAACTGCTACAAGAGCAGGAGCCAGATTTAAACCAGACCCGAACGTACCTGGCCAGAGTATATATTTACCGAATGCTGTAGACATCAAGTTTTTTGGCCATAAAGGCCTCATCAGTACAGCCAAGAGCTAAATAGGATGAGCTACCAGACATTGTGCAAAGAAGGCACCAGGGACATTAAAATAGCTCGTCGCTCTAGCCCAAGAGTGCTCGAACTACAAAAAATAGCGGGCAGTGTGTGATGCAACAGCACTAGTGCAGCCTACCGAGAGTGCTCAACAAGACGAAATCCGAAGGGCATAATGCCCAAAGCTGTAGATACTGGACAGCATACTATTTCGGCCATAAAGTCGTCTTCAGCATAGTTACGCCCTTTATGCAAGCTGTTCTGTGAGGTTTGTGGGAGAACTGGAGCTATCTAGTCTCTCTATCACCCCTCTTCACCCAACACAACACACCAGCGCAAACGGCAGCCTCTTGGTGGAAATGCATGAATCACTAAAAATGCAAGTAGGAAAAGGAGAGAGAGCAAGAAAAGAACAACAAGAACACAAAATCACGAGCACTTTGGCCAGGAAAAGACACGTCTTACATGGCATCCAAAATGGCAGCAGAGCAACCGATAGGAGACCGTCGTGGCTGAAGCTGCTATTGCAGCGACAGCCACCACGGCCACCATTGAGTGCAGAAAATAGATCTGAAAACGAAGTCGAGCAAACAGCAACTCGAACGAAGCAAAGAAAACAACAAGACCAGCTACGCGACTACGCGCAGCAGGCAAAGGCATAGCGATGAAATCATCAGTCACGCTTGCACACAGAATCTAGAATGCGCATGCAGCCTTGCAGGGCGCTGGCGAAATAAATAATGAAGTGAAGACGCAAATAAATAACACAACGAGCGATCGTTGCAGGAAAACAATTACAATTCAAATAAACTACTTCAAGGAAAGATGAGAAGTGAAACGACTAACACTGGAAGAAATAGAATAGAATATAGAACAAGGACACTGGAAGCGGACTACGGATGAAGGTACAATGAGGTAAGAGGCATGACACACTGATGACAGATGTCACCACAACAAATACATAATCTTATCACTCCCTTAGTATTGACTCACATATATTTTTGCCATACCTAAGCAGTCAAATATTCCTGCATATTTCACTCCTTAGGGCTATATTGACTGCTTATATTTGAAAATACGTACTGTTTGTCGTGATAAATCTAATATTGACTTCGTACTTGGTCAGTATAGGAAATAAAAACCGCGTAAAAGACCTCGGCTTCGCCTCGGTCTTTTACTCGGCTTTTATTTCCTATATTGACCTCGTACTCAGTCAATATTAGATACATAATGTTTGTCTACACACATTGTCATATTGTCACAGTTTCCATGAGTCCTGGTGAGCTCATCAGCTCCTCCAGAACTAGATGGCTAACTCAGACAGGTATTTCAATAGACCAATCCCGAAAAGATTGTCTGGGTTCGTGAAAGGGGGCACGCGTGCAAGCCAGCTCGTGTGAAGTGCATCGTTTTGTATTCAGTTTGTGTGTGACAGCTCATGGTGGAGGAGAGAGAGACTTTTGCTCGCCGAGCTAAAGCTAAAGGATTTGATGGAGTCCTGCCAGCAGCTAGTCAAAGGACCTTCGGTACCTTAGGCAGACCCTGACGAAGTTTGGAGGCCAGCTAGCTCTCGGTGAGGAGAGAAACTTTCGCGTGGCGATCGACTCTCCGTAAAAAATACAAGGTATATCGCGCCGACATACTGCAACAGCTACGATTTCAACTAACTTCTCGATCTGCTGCTTCACAAAGTTCAACTATTAAATTTTACAAGTCCTGACTGTTGTAGTCTGACGCTGGAGTCTCATCGCCCACCTACAGGTAGCTTTTGCAGCTGATGGATTTCCCGGCTTGGACTCCTTCCGCAAACTCTCGCAACATTGTGTTTCCGCACGCTCGTGTCGACATCTCACCTATACTGTACATGTACCGGGTCGCGGAGGACCTTGACGACCTCCGCTGACTCCAGGTTTTCGAAATACTGCCGTCGTCTAAGTTGATGTCGCCGGTGACATTCTCCCCTTGCAGGACTTGCGCATACTTCAGTAGTTGTCATCCCGGGGGTAAAGACTATGTTGTCTTTCGAATTAGTTCTTCATCACGCTCGTGCGAATGATGTGACACGGCGGTGTGACACGGCGATGGACTTTGGCGGGGCACTGGCTTGGCGAAAACGCTATCTTCTTATGCAATATAACATTGATCGGCTGCAGATGAGTACAGTCACTTCGTGGTTGGTCCTATGGGAGAGCACCTGCCAGAAAAGAGGCAGGACTCATCGAAGACGAAGCGCTCGCAGCAAACAATAGCACTCGAAATGTATCGTAAGATTTAGGGCCTATCGCTTTGAGCCACAGCGCTCACAGCCTTGCCTACTACATCAAAGTGAGCTCCACATGTTCGTTGACCTCTTCACACTGCACAGAGGAGCGAAATGTAGGTTTGCAACGGGCAAACCAAAGTTATCATGCCACAGAAGCACTCGTGGCCAGCGCCTCGCAGGCAGTCCGCAACGCCGGCTGTCATCGCACATCGTCCCCAAGTGTGGGAAAATGGCACATGCGCAAGCGTGGGACTTGCAGCCTTGCTGGCAACGAACAGCAGCGAGACCTTTCTATGCAAACAAATTTGTTTGAGCACCTTGGCTTGCAATATCAGCAGTGTTGTGCGAATTTTCTTGCTGTCTTGACTCTCGAGAGTGCAACTTGCGGAACATTAATTTTGTTCCCACCCTTTCCTTCCCACCCTCCCACCCGCTACCTGAACTCACGTTTCTGGCGCACACATGACATTGTATTTCTCACTCAACATGCGTCGGTTGCATAATTATGGCATCGGGCGAGTTCTTTATCTCTTGCCAATATGTGCTTGCCATGCCTACATGATGCCAAATCGCCATTGGGGTTATACACCCGTTTTTTCCCTCACTACTGCATCCGTCAGCGCGAGGGTTTTTTCCCGGCTGGCTTGGTCCAGGAAAATTAATCTGACGGTCCCAAGTGGTTCTGCATCATGGCCTATTTCTGTTATCCGCATGCGCATCTTTCCCATTTGAGACACACTTTGGTCTCAGTGCTTGCTTTCATGCCTCACTCGTGATTCGGTTCACATCTGGCTGCGGCCAGCTACCCTTCAATTTGTGTGCTGTCGCTATTGCTGTCTATAATCTGTGTGTACCAGTATATATGGCGCGAGAATGTATTCTTGCAATCCATGAGAATATTATGCCCTCAACTGTCATGTATACCTCTATATTTAGCATTAGATGGCTCTACTCAGAGTCATTGGCGGCTCCTTGCGGGGGTCATTTGCCGGCTCCATGCGGAGTCATTTGCCGACTCCATGTGGAATCATTTGCCGGCTCCATGCGGAGTCATTTGCCGGCTCCATGCGGAGTCATTTGCCGGTTCCATGCGGAGTCATTTGCCGGCTCCATGTGGAGTCATTTGCCGGCTCCATGCGGAGTCATTTGCCGGCTCAGCTGTGAGCCATCTAGCGGTCCCTAGCAGAGCTATCACACTAGTTGCTCGAATCGGCGCTCCCATGGAATGGCATTGCCCTATTCAGAGACATCAGTTGGTCCAAGTCCCCCAGCCTTCAGCTCTTCACTGACACACCTAGCGTCGGTTTCGGCAGGCTTTACAACACAGCGTGGTTCTACGGCACATGGTCAGCACACCAGTCGGATGGCTCATTTCGCAGCATTATCTGGCAGGAACTCTACCCAAATTGCCATTGCGCTCTCTTTATGGGGAGAACAATGGGCGCATCATGCTGCACAATGCCAACAAACAGACTACTTCAATAGCGCACATCATCTCCGTCAGACGATACTGATCAAGGCCGGCAACCTAATTAGGGACTCAGTAGCCCCAAGTTCTGCCCGCACATACCTGCCAGGGACTAGGGCGTACTTGAAGCTGTGTACACAACTGGGATGCCAGTCGAGTAGGCCGTCGGTAAACGATTTGCTGACATTCACCACCCACTGCGTATCCGGCCACAGATACAGGCAACCATCCGAGTATAGGTATCCGCCGTGAAGTATTACCTTCTCTGCCATGGTGGGCCGTCAAACATAACTCGGCACGATAGAGACAGCAGCCCTGGAGGGAGCGGAGCGTCAGCAATGGCAGCACCGCCAGCAAGCAGCACCGACACAATGTCAACGCCAGGCTATCACCCAATCAGACCTGCAGCAGCTTTTGACCCCGTGATCCAGCGCTCCCACTACTGCGAATCGGACAGGTGCATGCTCTGGGCCGCCTTCATGACAGCCTTTGCGGGATTGCTCAGAGTGAGCGAGGATACTGCCGCCTCTCCCCGCTCCGCTTCGAATGGCTGCACTCTGACCCTTGGTCAATTCTCACTCACTGGGAGTCAGATCAGCATAGGACTCGGGATAACAAAGACCTCCCAACGTGGCACTGGGGGCCAAGTCATCTTGCAGCCATGGTCCGGCAGCCAGCTCTGCCCTGTCCAAGCAATGCGCAAGTACCTCGCTATCCGCTACGCAACGCAAACGACATCACTGCTGTTCATATTCCGAAGTGGGCACTAAGGTGAACAGGCATAGTGGTGGCCTGCGGATGCGAAGGCTAGTTTGTGTGTTTCTGAACATTCAAGCGATGCCGACCAGGATCCCGCGAATATTATTATTATTATTATTATTAAGTGGGCAATATCTCACAGCCAAGGATGTGAACTACTGGAGGACGAGAGTCCTAGGTCCGGGTGGTAGCAGTCACTCCCTCAGGATCGGCAGGGCTACTGCAATGGCCGGAAGGAATGCCTCAGCTTGGCAGCTCCAGAAGGCCGGCCGCTGGGCTAGTGACACGTACAAAACGTACCTCTGTGTGCCAGCTGGCCTGCCTCTTGGCCAGCAATGAGCCGGCTACGCTGCCATGTGTGCACGCGCGTGCTGCTGGGCACTGTGTTTGCATCAATCCTGCCCGAAATACTCTAAGCACTCTGCACCTCCTTATGTAGGAATATGACCTCCAATCAGCTACATATGCAAACTCTTTAACGCATTGTGTTGCGCACTGTCACTGCTAAGCTTATCTGCAAGCATGTAGCGCAGCATTTGCTCAACGGCGGAAAGAAGGCAAGAAAAGCAGGGTCGTATATGCGGGGTTGCCACTAACCACTGACTCTTCTTGGAGAAGCAAGCAAAGCCCCTCAGCTGAATGCATTTTGGAACAATTCTCTGCATGAGCTTTCAAGCACTGGCGGCATGCGCTGCGCAGCAGCAGGACCACATGGTCCCAGCAGGACCAGCTGGTCCCAGCATAGACACATTGTGTCCAGCAGCCGGGCCAATTGGCCCCAGCATACAGCAGGACTGTCCGGTCCCAGCAGTCATTTGACTACCTGCGCACAGCCGTGCCCCACAAGGGCACAGCAGCATTAGTTAGGACCACATGGTCCCAGCAGGACCACATGGTCCCAGCAGGACCAGCTGGTCCCATCATAGACACATTGTGTCCAGCAGCCGGGCCAATTGGCCCCAGCATTCAGCAGGACCGTCCCGTCCCAGCAGTCATTTGACTACCTGCGCACAGCCGTGCCCCACAAGGGCACAGCAGCATTAGTTAGGATCATTGGCCTTTATCACTTGCACTGCCTGCCATCTACCAGCATTGTAACAGAATTTTCTACAATCCCGCTTTGCTGGGCCGCCTGGTATAAATGCATTGTTGCAAACAATTCGCAGATTACAATTTCTATTACAAAACATTTGATATGATCCAGCCGCAGCAGCTCAGCAACCCCAACTTTCACTTGCTTGATGTGCGTGTGGGTGATAAACAAGGATTGTGTCTTAGCATTTCAACTCCAACAGCAGACCATTACCAATGCGAGAGAGAAAACTGCAAAGGGCTTTGCTTTCTGTTGTATCGTCTCTCTTGCATGCAACAAAGGGAAAACCGTGTACTTACCGTCGCGTTCACACGCAAACTATCAAACACGTCCTGGTCATGTGTGTGCATGCGAACAAGAATTCATATGCCTTAGTGTGTATGTGTTCTAGTGTATTTAAAACTGTATTTCGATGTGCGTATGTTTGCGTGTGCGTATATGTGTGTGGCCATGTTTGTGTATGTGTGTGTGGTCTTGTCTGTATATAGAGGGCAGTACCACATGCCAAGCTACTAGAGCTCACATTGGTTTGTACGCCAACAAAGCTACACTGCTACAGGCTAAGGAGCAATGCAGACGTCTGGGAGGACGGTTACCCGCTGGTAGTGACGAGGCAGATTGTCTAAATCATGCCATGCACTTGGCGGGCGATAGTTCAGTTGCCTACAAAACCAAGCCATGGATACTAGACTATGATGAAAAGCCACTCCATCCGAACCCTAAATACTATTTCACTCTCTACGATACCTATAAACTTGACTTGACACAATCGTTTGAATTCCACACTGTGGCCTGTGCATTCAATCTGAGTAAGCCAAATATAATAATCAAGCTTCAACATTATAATTGTGTCCTCACACAGCAGCCACACCTGGCAATATGGCGGTAAACACACGCCTGCCCACACACGCTCTCTAGGCTGCAAAGTTCTGGAACAGAGCTCTCCTTCTCACCACCACCACCATCAGTTCGCACCTGGTGCCTGGTCGATGCATGGTTGGCGGTATCCAACATAGCAGGCTGGTACATCAAGTAGCGCATGGAACATATTATTTTATCAGCCATAAGTACAGCTGCAGTGATGTCTTCAACTTCACACAGCAGCCAAACCAGAATTTAATTAGAACACCTTTGCTGTTCCCTATGCCCTCTTAGAAACTCGCCTTAGACTGCAACAAACAGTGGTAATATTGTCAGCCTCAGTTCTACTGAGGTCATAATAAGCAAGAAAGTGTGACTGGCTGGGTCACACATTGCCTTGACCTAGCTCAAAGCTCTTGTAGGGGTTTCTTGTCCGTTCAAATGTGATATGGATTGCTGGATCTGGATTGCTGGATTTTCTGAAATTGGAAATTTTCTTGTGCACTTTACGCAGAGTCCCCAGTGCGCCTTACCCTGTGGAGTGCTCCTGTGCAATTCACATGATACGACTTACGGACGAGACTAGCTCTCTATCTCCCTGTTCTCACTCTCTGCTTCTCGAAATCGTTCTATATCACTTTCTCTCTTAGCATAGTCCACTGCAAAAGTTTAGAGATAAATGTTGGTGGTGGAAGGCATGTGGCTTTGTGGTGATAATGGATGCCGTGAAAATTAAAACCCTTTTTAACCTCTAGAGTACACTAGAATTTTTTTCTTTTCGACTTTAGCTCAAAAGCTTCTGCTTCAACAGACTCAATGAGCACCCAACACACTGATAATATGTTCTTGGCTGTGCAAAGTGTTTGGCAGTGCACTGGTGATATTTGTTTGGGTTTGGGTGTTGAACAGGGAATAGCCTGGGGCAGATCAACTGATTCAGTTTCTAAACTTAAGTCCATAGTCATTAAATTAAAAAAATCTTTAGATGTTGAGTGCCACCTCTGTGTGGATCAGTCCAGTTCGCGGATTAGTCGTAGCAGAGAAGCCGGTTTGCGAAATTAGTGGTGCATAATATAATCATCCTGAGCTCCCTGCTTCATGTACGTAGACGTCGTGTGGACTCAATACTGCACATGAAGAGCGTGATTCCAAAACGATGCATACTCAATTAATCGCTTTCCGGATACTGGCCAGAAATTGGTCTATTTCATGTGTGACCTCTATCTGAACACATAGTTTGCCTTGTCCGCTTCGCTTATACTATTTATCGCCTTAATAAGTTATTGTCTCCTCGTCGCCTATACATATTTTGCCGAAAGTTTTAAAAAGAATTGGTTCTAGTCCGCTTTTGTATGTGAGGGTTAGACTCGAGTGGAGAGCTAAGGATTAATTATTTATAAGAAGAAAGGAGGACCAAAAGTTGGTAGTGGTGTTAGTGGAAAAGATAGCGTAACTTGTAACTCTTTTGGTCCTCTTTTCTTCAATGTGAGAGCTACCTTTTCCCACTGGGTTATGGTAAAGATGCAAACGGGAAAAGGCTGAAGAAAAAACTTGACTGTCGCCACAAGAACTCGAACCAGGGTCTCCCGCTTGTAGCTAGCGATGCTCTGACCACGGAGCTATGCTTTAATCGCACCTATTTTCACAATCTCACGTTCTCAATTTTTTCCATTTCAGCGTTTTGCAATGAAACTATTCATAAAATCATCCAAACTGATGCACTTGATAGTATGTACTGAAATGATGTACACAAAGAATTGCTGAACTTGGATAATGAGCCAGTTTTAACCCTTTAAGAGCCGCCCCATACTTGAATGCGTCGTAAACGACGCATTCAAATGCAAAACTTCAAAAGATCGTAACTCAGTCCAATCTCGCTCAAATCCAGTGATCGAAATATCCAGGGCAAAGAGAAATCTCTCACCTGTCGGGAGAAACAATCCGCGAAGCGCTGCGAGCAACAGTTCCTGAGATACATCACTCGTAAGTTGAGCCGCGATCGCGGCAATTTCAAAAGCGCGCAGTGCGACTTTAGTATTGAGAATTTTGAGACTTTTCGTCAAGCTGGCTTACTCGAATTTGCACGGGTTTCACTGTTGATATTGTCAAGAGTACACAGCGAAAAAATTGAAACTCCACGATCGAGTAAAATGAAATATCTGGAGCGGGACGCAATTGGACGCATTTGGGGCATTTTTCGTACTGTCGCTGCGATCTAGCGCTGGATAGACGGTGTGCTGGCTATCATGATCGACCTCATTCTCTTCCTCTCGCGGAGACCTTTCCAGGAAGCCCTAGATTGTGAGGATTGAGTGAGTAGAACTGAAGCTATGATCCAAAGAACACGAAAAAATGCAGAATTTTGAAAATTTCCTGTGGCTCTTAAAGGGTTAACTTCAAATTTAATGTAAAATCGAAGAAGATAGCACATGCGTACGAGTTATGGAGCAATGATCCTAAGTCGTTGAATATTTCAGTAGGCTGTCAATTTTTCTGCCCTGTTATCGCAGATTTTGACTGCGTATTATGTTGTTCCAATCGTGGATAGTTGCTTCATAACGCATTCCTTTCTGTTTTCTTCTTCTATTCTACAAAGAAATGTACTACAGTCTGTATTGGCTATAGAGTGACCGGATATAAGAATATATCGGCTACTGTGATATTGGTACGAAATATCAAAAGCAAAACGTATTTTATCCAGTAAAAATATCACTATAACCAATATTATCGGATGTAATGATCTATATCGGATATTATGATGGCAACAAAGAATCAAAACATGCATAACACACTATTTTATTACTGGTCCTCCCTCGTTAGATAATCTCTGGGCCATCAAAAAGGTTATCTTATAACGAGACTTATCTTGTAGCAAGACTTGCAGCTAAAGGTGAAATAGGCACTACTTCGTACTTACCCGGGCTACCCTCGATACAACATAAATGATCGATGTGTCAACTCGCTATAAGATAATTGAAAATCTCCAACATAACTCTTCCTTGGATGCAAAGGATCGTCCATATTCACGAATACATAGACATAATACGTTTTCTCTTTCTGCTTTATCCTACGTGTTTTGGCCTTGGTCCTGCATGGTCTATATTATCTTATACCGAGGGTTTGGCACTCCAGGGACCTGGGCAAAGGGTCGTTATAACGGATTTTATGTACTAACATATTATGTTGTGACCGGACCTGTAAACAGTTGTATAGACCACGTTTCGCCAGGGGATTTCAGATTTCTATTTCTAACGGGGTTTATGTACTAACCGGACTCGTTATAACGAGGGAGGACATGTATCGGCAATAGTGATAACTTTAAAATACATGTAGCAATAATATTAAAGGCCCTATTTTTTACTTTCTTCACGTTGCTTATTTTTATAGTGATCCATGTACATGTACATAACAGATTTTTTTATGGAAATGCGGGCACTGTCACTTATGCAGCATGCTCATTTGTCAAAACGCCATGCTGGAAGTATTTCCTTGCCTTTCATGTGTCGATCGAAGAAAGAAGAAAAAATCGATCGTATGGCATATAGTGATGCATCGGTTATAGTGATAAAATCACGGAAATCAAAAGGGTGCTCTATAGCCGATACAGACTGTATCAGTATTCTGTCTATATCTTTTCATACCCTTCAGTAGGAAAGTTTTGGGCTTTATTTCACATCGTAGGCACCCTTAATATCTGGAAATCATGGATGGCATCATAAAACAATAGTTTGGGTTAGCTTTGGGCTAACCCTAGTTAGCGATAAGACCGATGCGCTGCTCTCTATCGCATGCTAGATGCGACTGAGCTGGCTTTACACGTGCACTCAACTGCTGGGCATGCGCGCCCAAATGCGCGCCCAAATCGCCTTGGGTAGCTCTTGCTGCGCTGACTTTGGCTTGCGCTTTCCTTTGCAGTGTCACTGAGCAGCAACCGGAATTTGTTTGCCACCCACCCTCCCATTCCCACATTATATAGGTGGGAACAGCTTCCTTCAACTGGTTGCTTTGCTACTACTATCTCTGCTTAAAATTGCATACTATTGGTCGGCTGTTTGCGACGCCAATCAGTAGTCATTGCACCCGGTCGCGGGTACTATTGCCGCTCAAGCATGAGCGATTGCTTTGGCCGTTTGCAACGCCAACTGCTTCACCCTGGTTGGCTGTTTGTAACGTCGATCAGGGAACTTTGCACCCGGTCGCGGGTACTGCTGCGGCTCAGTTGTGAGTGATCACTTTGGCTGTTTGCAACGCCAATCGCTTCACCAGTTGATCGAAACCAGCACACTGGTGTACCCCAATCATCCTTGTGCGGTTTTGTGAGAATACATGGGTAGGCATGCAGCTTTGCTCTGTGACTTTCCACTGCTTGTAGTCACTTGGCTCTCCAATTTCCTATACACTGCTCTGATGCTTTCGGATGCAAGAGCTAAATATATTTTAGGTTGTGCATGCTTTGCTCAACTTGTACTTCGCTTTCCCCTTGACCTGTCCGAACACATTACACATGTCTCCAACTTGAAGATAGTACAGGGTCAGAAGGACGATGCGAATACCCACATTTCTTTATAATTAAAAATGCCCGCACAGGCCACACTAGGAAAGTGGTTTGCTTGCCGGACTGGATATAGTGCTTTACCAGCGACTTCACTTCACACTTGAGTAACTCGAGTACGTCACATGCCTTGACCTTACCACTGTTTCCTACAATTCACACGGTTTCCAATATTGCATATTGCGGTTTACACACTTTATAAGTGCCTTTGAGAAAGAATTTGGCTGCAAACTAGGAAAGACACTGGAGAGAGATCGGAATGGGCTGGGATTTTGCGTATTGATCTTCCACGTGTATGTATCTGTTTTATTGCTTGCATGGCTGATTTTTGTGTTGTTGTTTTTCTCTTTGTTTCCTTGCTTGCGACATGTCTCCGTGTTTAACTGCCTGCCTGCTTGCAAGGGGAATACTTCTGCAAATCGTCTAATGGCAAAACGGGAGTAACAATGGTTCACTATCCCGACAGGATATCTGATGCCAAAAGAGAGGAATTCTGTCTCAAACAAAATGCTCGGATGCCAGACAACCACAGTCCCGGTGAAAATAAATGTATTGAGGAGTTTAGAGATTTGATTCACACAAAAACGGGTCATCAGGAAGACACCCTGTGGAAACAGGTGTGCGTTTTCAGTCCTCGTAAGTTGATATCTTCATAGTCTACAACATTGGGTCTCATTACGAACATGTTTTCCCTCATGCGTCTCAAAGGGTTAGTTTCCCTTGAAAAAAAGAATGTGCAGGTGCAATACTATAATCGGCGACTCATAGATGGTAAAAACTCAGATGTTGAGCCAATAGTTATTATGTAAAGGGAAAAGAAACATTTTCAAAGGCTTTGCACAGTAGATCTAGACCCCAAAGGGAACCGACCTGCAAATTTTGGGCAAAATTGTAGAGATCCACTTGCACAAATACTGTAAGACCACTATTTAACTCGGTATGTCCAACAGTCTTACTAGTTTCGTCATCATCCAGAAACTTTCGGCATTCTTTGTTGAGATGATGCGTAGCTCGTGCTCTTCTTCGTTGCGCTTTCCTTCCCCTCTTGGACCTTTCCGAACCTGAGCCTTCCAAGTTGGAAGGTTGATGGTTTGCGCCTTGGAGAAGTGTTGGACCTAGATGTTAGGTTGCCGAATGTCTCAGTACTCCTTGTCAGTGTTGTGCCATTTTGTCGCACTCGCTGACTGTAAAAGATCTAGTTACGTTGGTGGACAGTTAGTCATAACTTGTAACATTTTCCCCTCTTCTTACCACTTATATTAAGGAACATTTAATGCTAACGGCTTGACAAATTTAAAAAAATCGTTAACCCACATGCACGCACGCATATACACAACAAAACTTCAAACAAACAAATCACACATACGCACATTTATCCAAACATGCTCATGCGCATGCACGTGCATGCACAAACACACGCACACGAACACACACACGCACCTTGAACCTTGAACCTTGAACGCCCATTGCCGTAGCAATGATAGCGATGGCTTCCTCACGCTGAGGCTCTAAACTCGAAATCTGCAGTATGGCGCATGCCGCTTGAGGTCACCAGGACGACGGAACACTCTGCCACAGCGGTAGTTGGGGCACAGGATGTCTGGGGCTTCCTTCTCGACCCTCTGTCGACAACACTGAAACCAGGTGGATCTCTCCTGCGCTGTGTCATACCAGTCCGCTTCAGGGAAACCGATGACAGCAAAGTCCGAGGACACAACATCCCGCCAGCGCTTCTTGGGACCATGTTGCGGGCGTTTGCAGGGCAGTTCGCCGAACAGCATCTGCTTGGGCAGCCGGGTCTCCTTCATCCGTGCAACATGACCAAGCCACCGCAAGCGGTGCTTCCTGATCACATCGGCCATGTCGACGTCCACCCCTGCCAGCTCACTCAGCGATGCTGACAACAATCTCTCCTCCCATTGCTCACGACGAGAGATACCGAGAATTGTGCGAATACACTGATGGTGAAAGGTGTTGAGTCGGCGAATATGACCCGCTTTGATGGGCCATGTCTGCGCACCATAGAGAAGAGCAGGAAGGACGATAGCACGATACACCAGCCGCTTGGTGTGGACCGAGAGATGTACGCACTGAAATATCGGAGACCTGAGCACGCCGAACAGCCGGGACGCCTGCGCCAAACGAGCAGCGAGGTCCGCATCCACCGTTCCGTCAGCAGAGAGCACGCTGCCAAGGTACCGGAACCCGTCCACCATGTCAATCCTGCTATCACCACCGAGTTGAACGGGATCAACTGATGTTGGTTGACCCACCGCCATGCCCTTCGTCTTCCTAATGCTGACGGTCAGTCCCCATCGCTGTGCACACAAAATGAACTCGGACGTCATGCACTCAAATCTCTCTCTGGTGGTTGCATACAACGCTGCATCGGCGAACTGGGACTCAGTCACCCTCGTCGCGGATAACCGGGACTTCGCCGTGCGGTCCCCAACCAGCTTGCGACCGTTTCTGAACAGCAGGTCAACTCCAGCGTCTGGACAACGTGCGCGCCGGTCCGCAACCGCCACACTGAAATACAGGTTGAAGAGGGTGGGTGCTAGGGTACATCCTTGACGCAGCCCATTAGTCACAGAGATGTTGTCGGAAAGCTTACCGTTGACTCGCACCTTCGCAATCATACCCTCATGAAGAGACTTGATGAGTCCCAACATAACCGGCGGAACACCCAGCCTATCCAGCACACTCCAGAGCGCTGTACGGGGGATGGAGTCGTACGCCTTCTGAAGATCTACAAACAAGACGAAAAGAGACGTATCGTCCTCAATAGTCTTCTCCATTAGTTGACGTGCACAGAAGATCATGTCCGTGCAACCTCGACCTCGCCGAAAACCGCACTGAGAATCCGGGAGAATTTCCTCAGCCACCACCTGCAAACGGTCCTGCATAACCCGGGCAAACACCTTTCCAGCGACATCCAGTAAGCTGATGCCCCTCCAGTTATCGCAGCAGCGAAGGTCACCTTTCTTGGGGACAGGGACCACCACCGCATTCCGCCAATCATCCACTACTGAACCCTTGGCCCAGATGTCACCCAAGAGTTGGTGGAAAGCAGCAAGAAAGTCTGCTCCAGCATGGACTAGCATATCCGGCAATATGCCCGATTCACCACCAGCTTTACCGAGGCTCAGCTTCTTGAGAGCACGGCTAATTTCTCGGTGCGTGGGCGGGTATCTAACTCATGGCGGGTAGGACGGCGTTCCAGGGACTCCAGCGAACTGTCGGAAAACTGACTTGTGATGTTGAGGACACCATCAAAATGCCGCTGCCAGCGGTCACAAGTTGCAGCAGGGTCGGTCGTAAGGTTACCATTCTCGTCCAGCACAGACAAGGGACGTGCTGACTTACGGCCAACATTCACTTCCTGTAATTGGCGGACACACTCCCACCGCATCCTGCTATGGCAATCCAAGTTGTCAGCATGGGTGGCGACCCGCTCGATCCACGCTTCCTTTGCAGCATTCACGGCACGCTGCACCGCCCTCTGCTGCGTACGAAACACCAGCTTGCTATCACGAGTGTCCTTCTGAAGGAACTCCTGGTGTGCTGCATTCTTCCGCTCAATCAGAGGCCTGAGGGTATCTGCGCTGTCACGGAACCAGTCCGGCTGTCGTCGTGTCTCGTATCCCAACACCTCGCTGGAAGCCGCCACCACGCATTTGCGCATTGCCGCCCACTCCTGCTCTGTGTCCACACCACCATCCACGTCCACAGCCTCAGCAGGCAGGAGGTCAGACACTTTCTCTGAAAACGCCTTACTCACTTTGTCATCCCTCAGCCTAGCAACGGCAATTGGACGGGATCTTGCAGATGCCACGGGATAAAACTTCTTGTGACCGACCTCAAAACTAAACTTGCCACGCACCATGGAGTGATCCGACCAGCAGTTCGCACCACGCATCACCTGCACATCATGCCACTCACTCCTCTGATCCGCACGGACAACAACATAGTCAATCAGATGTACCTCCTTCGTAGCTGGGTGCATCCATGTGCCATAAAACTTCTTCCTGAACCAGGTGTTCATAACAGAGAGACGGTTTACATTACAAAATACTAGAAGATCCTCCCCAGCAGCGTTGCATTGTCCAATTCCATGTGGGCCAACTACGTCACTCAACGACTTGTCACAAGAGGAATTGACACCCACTCGCGCATTGAAGTCGCCCAAAATCACCAGTCGGTCAGTACGAGGCACTGCGTCGATAACAAGCTGCAGATCGTCCATGAATTTGTTCTTGATGTGTGGAGGTGCTTTCGATGTCGGAGCGTACACGTTCACGACAGTGAGATACGACTCTGCCCTGGCACGATGAAAACCAGTGGGCAACGACCCGTCACCAGCTGATAGATGAAAGCGAGCGCTGACAATTCTTGAACTTACTGCCGACCAAGTCTCGCCCGCGCGTTTCCAGGCCCTCGTCATCTCGTTATTGAAATAAATTCCAACGCCCTCACCCCGCTGTCCACTCTCGTCATCAACAGGCACTGGACGCCCCGAGTGAACGAATGTTCCTCCACAGGCAGGCCACACATCAGACCCGAATCATTTCGTCTCCTGCACGCCAGCAATTCCAACGCGATACCTTTCAAATTCCGAGACAAGCAAATCCAACTCTCTATCAACCGAACACTCTCCAACTCGCTTCCTGCATACTCTGACGTCTCCGCTGGACTCGAGGAGTGTCCTGACGTTCCAGGAGGCCACAAACACCTTTCGTCTCTCAACATTCTTCTTCGCTCTCGCCATAAACAAATTTTGAATTTTCGAATTTCTCAGCGTGAAGAAGCCAACTCGTGTGCCGTGTGTGTTCAACAAACAGCTCTCAGCAGGGGGCAAGCCTGCTGTAGAGCGCCACTACAGCCATCTCCTGGTCTACACCACACGGAGATGGACTGCGTCCTGTGGCAAACTCAAGAAACAGGAGCACCAAAAAGTGCAACCGTTCTTCTCCAGACCAGAACACTCACACACGCACACGTACACACACACACACACACACACACACACACACACACACACACACACACACACACACACACACACACATGTGCGTGCCCAACGCACAAAATGCAAACACACATCCCTTCTTTACTGCAGGCAGTTTGTAAGCTTAGCCCTCTAAAGCCGCCCGAAATGCGTCGTATGCGTCGTGAATGCAAAACTTCAAAAGATCGTAACTCAGTCCAATCTCGCTCAAATCCATCGATCGAAATATCCAGGGTGAAGAGAAAGCTCTCACCTGTCGGGAGAAACAATCCGCAAAGCGCTGCAAGCAACGGTTCTTGAGATAAATCACTCGTAAGTTGAGCCGCGATCACGGCAATTTCAAAAGCGCGCAGTGCAACTTTAGCATTGAGAATTTTGAGACTTTTCGTCACGCTGGTTTACTCGAATTTGCACGGGTTTCACTGTTGATATTGTGAAGAGTACACAGCAAAAAAATTGGAACTCCACGATCGAGTAAAATGAAATATCTGGAGCGGGATGCAATTGGGCGCATTTGGGGCGTTTTTCATACTGTCTCTGCGATCTAGCGCTGGATAGACGGTGTGCTGGCTATCATGATCAACCTCATTCTCTTCCTCTCGCGGAGACCGTTCCAGGAAGCCCTAGA